GGAAAACATCTTGTCTTTTTGGGCCTGAAGCCAACGATAGAGGTCGCTCAGGTTCTGGTCACAGATCCAGGGGTTGCTAGAGATGTCAAAGCCATCCCGCATGTCCCGGTTTGGCTGCCCTAGGGATGTCCAGAGCCCCTCGGGCACACTGGCCAGCGAGTTATTGGAGAGGTCCAGCATGTCCAGCTGCTGCAGGCCCTGGAAGGCACCGGCTGCCACCCTGACCAGCTTGTTGCCGTTCAGGAAAAGGTAGCGCAGGTCTGGCTGCGGCACGAGGAGATCCTTTCCCAGTTCTTGCAATTTGTTGCCTTCTAAATGTAGCCGTTCTAATTGCAGCGGACCCTGCAGAAGGTCAGGGGGCAAGGTCTCCAACTGGTTCTCCGCAAGGTCAAGGGTGCGCAGGAGGGTGAAGTTGGCCAGCAGCCCAGGGGGCAGTTTCCGGAGGCGGTTCCCAGACAGGTCCAGATGCCTCAGGGCTTTCAGGCCATGCAGCCACGAGGCCTCCAGGACCTCCAGCTGGTTTTCTTTCAACACCAGGGTGTCCAGGGTGGCTGAGGCCTGGAAGAGGCCTGGGGGCAGCCCGGTCAGGGAGTTTCGAGTTAGATCCAGCACCCTCAGCTGCGGCACTGGCCGCAGGAACTCGGGTGAGAGGCTTTCCAGCCTGTTGCTGGAGAGGTGCAATTCTTGGAGCTTAGAGGCGCCCTGGAGGAGGGTGGCTGGCAGGAGGGTCAGGTTGAAGAACTCCACGGTCAGGTGCACAGTGTCGGCTGGCAGGTAGCTGGGGATTTTGGCAGGTGGTTGGCAGGAGATGGAGCTGCCATGGTCTGAGCGGAACACCTGGCAGTCTTTGGGGCTCAGGGTGACCCCGCAGGCTGAGGCCGCCAATAGCAGCAGCAGGAACAGGGTTCTAGAAAGATGGGGTTGAAAGCCCCCTGGGCTGCAGGCAGTAACACAAGATGCTTACTAACCCACAGTGAAAATACACTCAGCTAGGTGGAAATACACCCCCAAATTTGCCCACTTCTTCCCATCTCTGCGGCTACCAGCCTGGACTATGCCGCCTCATCTCTTACCTGGACTAGGGCAGTTGCTTCCTTCTCCTCTCCCAGCTTCTACCCTCACCCCCCACAGCTGCCAGAAGTGGCGCCTGTTGCAGGGAGAATTACAATTCTAGGAAAGTTGAGTTTCTGAGTGTAACTCCCGCATAATATGAATACACTTCCCCATCACCAGCCTAGCCCCCATGAGCTGCTAATTATTCACAGTCCAACTTGCTAGTTTCTTCTGATCTTGCTTGTTTTCTGGGTCAGTCCTTGTCTCCCTGGTTCTGTGTTTTGATGTGAACTCCTATTCATCCTGCAAAGCCCCAGCTCCAATGCCCTCTTTTCCATGAAGACTTCTCTGCTCTGGGATCCTGGTCTTTCTGTCCAGCCTTGACCAGTTGGGTGCTTGGAGGAAGACAGATGTTCAGGTTCACGTTTTTGAGATAGGGTCTTGCTCGGTTGCCCAGGCTGGAGGGCATTGGTATGATCATAGCTCACTGCAGCCTCTGAACATGAAAAGTGTATCCTGCTTTGGCCCAGTCTGAGGGTGGGCATTTGGCCTTGGGAAGGGGTGGTTTACACCTAGCACCCTTGGAAGCCTGGAGCTTCCCCTCCTTCTCCAGGGCTTCCCTGGCCCAGCAGCCATCAGACATGATCTGGACAGCCTTGGTCACTGTGGCCCCAGACCTCTAACAAGAAGCCTCCCCCGGCTCCATCCTGCCCATGCCCACCTGGGCTTCTGCAGGGGGGTGTGTGTGTGTGTGTCTGTGTGTGTGTGTGAGTCTTTCTGTCATAGTTAAGGTTGATCTGTCCCAGGCTCCAGGTCTGTATCTGCTCCCTGTGACTTCAGTGGGTCAGCTGGAATGTGGGTCAGACCTGCCTAGAACAGGTAGTGTGGGGACCTACCTTTCGGGTCGCCGTCTGCTCCAAGAGGCCATGGTAGCTCTTCTTTTTTGCTTCTGGGTTGTCCTGGCCTGGGGAGATGGCCTTATACCTGCCTGGACTGGGGCCCGGGGAACCAACCCCGGGAAACTCCCCACCCCCATCAGTTCCTGACAGGGGCTGAGGCTAAGCCAGGCGGGGAAAGGGGAGGGGTCAGGATTACAAAATTGCTTCCTGGAAATTGTTTCCTGTTCAACCTCTTTTTGACCCTGCTTCTAAAACCCAGGTTTTTCTTTCCTTGTTTCCTGACTTTTGGGGGACACCCAAGAGTCTCTCTAGTTGCATCCTGACTTCCCCCAACCCAGAGTTCAAGGATCAAGGTTTGCAAGGCACCATTCCTGGAGATAGCGACAGCTCTTAGCAAGAGGAGTTACTTACCATAAACTTGAGCAACCAGAAAGCTCACTGAAAAGAACAAAAAAACTCTTGTCTTGACTTCGTGGTATGTTGATATTGCTTTTTAAAAATGAAGTCATTTAAAAAATACAATTCAATAGTGAGTAAAGCCGAAAGTCTCTATGGTCCTTGGACAGTGGCTTGGGAGGAACCAAACCTGGTTCTGAATTCCAGCTCTGTCATAAACAGCTTTGCTCTGTAACCTTTGGCAAGTGACTTAACTTTTCTTGGCCTCAGTTTCCCCATCTATGAAGCTGAACTCAGATCTCTGAGGGCTCTTTCTGCCCCTTTTTGTCTTCATCTGAATCTGACATCCATGCTATTGTTTCCATTCCTCCTCATTTCCTATTAAATGCATTTGGAGGCTACAAATTTCCCTTTGAGAACAGCTTTGGCTGCATCTCCTGGACTTGGCTACAGAGTGCTTGCATTCTTGTTGAGTTCTAAATATTTAGGTATGATGTGTCAGCTTTATCTGCACCTATGACTTTTTCTTTTCTTTTTTTTGAGACCGAGTCTTGCACTGTCGCCCAGGATGGAGTGCAGTGGCACGATCTCGGCTCACTGCAACCTCCACCTCCTGGGTTCAAGCAATTCTCCTGCCTCAGCCTCCCGAGTAGCTGGGAATATAGGCACATGCTACCATGCCCAGCTAATTTTTAAATTTTTTTTTTTGTAGGAGGAGGCTGGTCTTGAACTGCTGGGCTCAAGGAATCCTCTCAGTCTCTCTGAGCCGTGAGCCACTGCACTCAATCTGTCTTGTACCCTGCCCTGTCCCCAGAGCCCAGCCGTTCGTAGGTCTTAATCAACATGGGCTGAGAGAAAGGAAGGCTTGTGAAATGTGATGACACAGTAACAAAATGATCCCTTAAAATGAAATCAGATCACATCCCTGCTTAAAACTCTCTGGTGACTTCTTGTCCCACTTAAAACAAAATTCATAAGGCTGGCCGGGCATGGTGGCTCACACATGTAATCCCAGCACTTTGGGAGGCCGAGGCGGGCAGATCACCTGAGGTCAGGAGTTCAAGACCAGCCTGACCAATATGATGAAACCCCGTCTCTACTAAAATTACAAAAATTAGCTAGGCATGGTGGTGGGTGCCTGTAGTCCCAGCTACTCAAGAGGCTGAGAAAGG